TCCCAAGTTAGGAAGAGTTAATTTCTCATTGTTGGAATTGAATTTTGTCATTTTGTATTGTGGGTTTAATAAGAAAGGCTGCTCCCATGAAAACCACCGATTTTGCAATCGTATCAACATTTGATTTTTAAATTCTTCCAATGGAATTTCTTGTATCATTTGAACAATTTTACCAAAACTATATAATACATGATCTAAACGTGCTTTATCCCTCTGTAATTTATTTAGAGCTGCACAAAATGGATGTAGTAATCTTACAAGTTCTCTTAGATCACACCACCAACTATCAATAATATTACAAATCCTTATTGGTAATGTGATAACTTCATTTTCATTAACAATAAAAGTGTCTTCTGGATTCAATTTAGTTACTAAAGACTATGATAAATAAAATTATAAGCTATTTACAATATATCATATTAATTAGTGAAATACATTGTATAACATCAGGAAAATGGGTACAAATATTGTGCGTATATAATACACAATTGCAGGGATTAAGCATATAATATATGCACAATTTGCATACATAAAAAAATACGTGATTTGTACGCATATTATATGCTTAATCCCTGAAATTGTGTATTATATGCGCATAATATTTGTACCCATTTTCCTGATGAATGGTGACTTACTTTAAGTGCAGATTTTGTTTTTAACAAGTTAAAATAACTATGAAAAAATGAATTCCATCTTGTGTCACAAGGTAGTGATAAATGAACATATTTTCCTCTGTAAATTGATTCTTGTTCAGTGTGTAATTGACCCATAAAATATGTACACTCACTGGTCATAAATATAAGGACACTTGCAGATCATCAGAAATAATTGAACAAAGAAACATGAAAAAAAATAAAATTTTTATTAACCTAACCGCATTTGCTTATTAAGTAAAAATTCATTGCCATATCAAATAGTATAGCATACTGAAGTTTCGCTGCATATAAACAACAACTCGTTGTTTTACAAACTTTATAAAATAAAAATGAATTTTTTGGAATTTTCAAAAAAATCTTTAACTCAAAAATTGACCACAATGTCAAGTTCTAACGACCTTTGCAGTATAAATGAAAAATGCGTCTTATGTATGAATCTAGTTATATCCAAAATTCTAGATCATTTAGTAAAATAATTGCCAAGATGTCATACAAAATACTCAAACAAGTTAATTTTTGAAGATCTTGCAGAAAATTCACTACCTTATATTAATGAATTAAGAGAGGTGAATCATGACAGTGATGGTGGTGGTGATGATGGTGGTGATGATGGTCATGGGTCATGGTCATGGTCATAGTTGTGTGTTTATTTTTCAAGAAGATAATGCACCATGTCATAAAGCAGCTGTGGCAAATCAATGGAAAGAGGAAAATTGTGTTATACTTCTCCCTTGGCCTGCTCAAAGTCCAGACCTCAATCCTATTGAAAATTTATGGCAGGATTTAAAAAGAAGACTTAGA